GTATTGAAAAAAAATTGTTAAACAAAAATTATATCATATCATAAAGATTATCTTTTAGTGCAAGTTTTGGAGAAGATTTCGAAGTTATTTTTATTTCTTTTTAAAAAAAATGTTGGTTAAGATTTATTTATTAAATTATAAAAATTTAGTTATAATTGAAATTTGCATTAAGTGAAAATAGAAGAACACACATCTCATTTTCACACTGTTATCTATGACTTATAATGTTAATATTTAATAAAGATTAATGTATTACCATACAGAGAATAATAGAATCTTTTTATTTTAAATTAAAATACCTTGTTCAATTCAAACAGTTCTATTTATTATCCGAACAATATATTTCCTATTATAAAAATAACGTATATATAAATGTGTACATCGCCCCCAATCTATTATTTCATTTTTATTTATCGTACGAAATTTATTCGTAACGATTCAGTATAAAATTGAAGAGAAACACGAAATAATTATGAAACTGGGACGTGATGAATGAGTAATAAATTTAATGCGAATATATCGTGTTGAAAAATAAATTGATATAAAAAATGCGGTGTAGCAAAATCTGTTTACAACAGATCCAATGATTAAATGTATCAACAAGTCGAAAGAGATTAATCCCGGATAAAAATTTAAACGTTGATTTATTAGGAGATCCAGCGAAATACATAAAAATACGGGGTTGAAAAGTGATATCCTACGCGATAAGACGAAATCGTGATATTGAAAACTATTCGCGATCGTTAAATGCATCAAAAAGTCAAAAGGGATTAATTTTCCAGATAAAAATTTAAGCGTTGCTGTATTCGAGTGGTTTATACCATTGTCGAAACAATCAAATATCAATTATATCGTATTGGATCAATTATACGTGAAAAAGGTCGGGAATTTATTGAAAATTATTAAAAAAAAAAAAAAAAAAAAAGTAACAATATAATACTTTCTTTAGTTTTAGCATTTTAATATGTAAAATTTAAACGATAATTTATTTTGCTCTACTTCTTTCTAATTTAAATATTGAATGTAAAGCAAATGAGCAAATACTTGTCCCGTTGTAAGAATTCAAAGAGATGTATGTTCTTAATCAATTAATAATAATAACAACAATGTTTATTTATTTAAGGTAAATTTTGTATAAAAAAATAATGATTTATAATATATTTAATAATTATTATTATTTATTTATGGCTTAAAATGCTTTTAATATAATAAAAATATCATATAATATTGAATATCATCGTAAAATTAATTTATGTAATTCTATCGTATAAAATTCTCGTTCGTTACAATAACAAAACGTTTCATTAAAAATCTAAAGAAGAGAACGTACGCAAAAGTTGTATACAAAAAGTGTATACGAATTTCAATTAAAACTTATTTATTAAATTTGCATCAAGATGAGACGAGACGCAGATAGAGTAAAACTATGGGATAGAGCCATCTCATCCTTCTCTTTTACTTATAACTTAATAAATAAACCTCAAACGACATTTTTCTTTTTTTCTTTTTCTTTTTTTTTTTTTTATACCAGCTTTTGTATTTATTTTTCTCAGAATCGATTCTCTAAAGGTGTTGTCCACGAATAATATTAACAAGGTTAATATATTCACATCGCCGTTAAAAAACGCCGTGATTGGGTCAAAGTTAAAAAACTTTTCGACCGAAAATAACATCCCATTCATATTTATCGATTAATCCATCCTTCCAATTATACCAAAACACTGTAAGTGACTGAGAACGCTCGATCGATCTCGACCGATTCCGAGACTCTTCATTGCAAGCAACGCCATCCTATTCTTGTCCGTCACTCGTGCGCGTATACGTGTGCGCGAGCGAGCATGTGTACAAATGGAAAGTAAGAGGGAGTAATACGCTCGAAGCGCGACGATATTATTCAATCCTGGCGATCCAAAAACGATTTTCGAGTAAAAATTGTTCGCGATTTCATAACGGTTCTCGCGCAAACACGCGTTCAACGAGATAGAAATTCGGGAGAGAATTTTACACATATCTATGCCTGATGAAAAAGAGATAGATTTTTATTGAAATATTTTCGATAGCAATATATACACGAGAATTTCTCATAACGCGCAAACTAAAAAATTCTGGGCGAACTATTTTCACCGATCTCTACGCATTTCACTAATCCAATACTTTTCAACGGATATAAATTTCGCATTAAAATTTCACCGAACATAAATGTATTCAATACGTTTATTAATATTTATAAATAATTTTACGGAATTTTGCATGGACAATCAAAAATCTTTAATTATAATTGAAATATATTTATACGTTGATATTACGGATAATTTATATATTTGTTAAAATAAAAAATAAAAATAAAAATATATTATATTTTTAATAATTAATATCTAATTTTAACGAATTAATAAGTCTCTATTTCAATTTTTGACAAGTTCGGATCTTATTGCATAAAACGATATATAATCTGCATCTTTATTCCGCAAAATAATCCAACATCTATACTAAATCTCTTACTCTTTATCGTTGTCTTCACTAATTGTTTATTCACGCTAGAACGTAAATTTTTTTTTAAATATATTATTATATAGCTTAAGAAAGTGTTAGATCTGCATCCTTTCTTTTGCCACAAGATGCTCAATTTTTATTCTAATAGTTATGGTGTATTGCCATAAAATCTAACGTAAAATCTATAGTAAAATTCTACAGTATCATAAATATTTTTATGTTGCTAATATCTTACAACAAAACGTTTTATCTTATTTTTCGTCAAAATATTTTATCATTTAAAATACATAAAAACAATTATTGGTTATTGCCATAAAACCTAACCTGAAATTTTCAAACGTGTCGTTAAACCATAAAAATTGGGAAAACACTATGTTAATTAAAAAGTTCGTCGAAGCATTGACAAGACGCAAACAGAGCGAACAGACGTAAAGTATTCATTGTCCAGAGGAAGATTAACAATGTGTTCTTCGTGTAAAATCTGCAATTCGTACGCGACATTTATCACTCGTACGTCGACACTCCTCTGTCGCCATAGCGTTCACAATACCCACCTCGCATCATCCCATCCCACTTCATCTATTCCCATCTCGGTCGACGATCTTCTCTGACAGTTTTCACGTATAAATTCACATTTGTTTTTTTTTTTTTTTTTTCTACTTTAAAAATAATCCATCTTGAAACACATTTCATATTAAAAGGAAGAAAAGAAAACAATTCATGCAAAAAGAAAAAGGAGGAAGAGTGACAATAGTTTGATGACATAAAATTCCAAACATTTATATATTTTTGGAGAGTAAAAAATACTGATTGTAGAAAGTATAAAATATTATATTATGATTTAAGATAGAACATGTTTGTATGAATTATTCATTTTTTAATTTTTTAAGGCATTAGAAGGTTTAGAAGATTAAGGTCGGTTTAAGGAAAGGTTATTTTGTACCCATATAAGACAAAAATATAATTTTTTTTTTATTCGAAGCATGTTTATTTATATAATAGAATAATATAAGACATTTAAATACCTATTGATGAAAAAATATTATTGATATATTTATTTTATCTAATATTTTTATAGTTTATATGTAATAATATTATTAATTAATTATTATTTATAATAATATTTTACGTATCACAATTTAGTTGCACATGATATGTATGCATATCGAACTAATAAATCAAAATTTTATTATTAAAACAAAATTAATTTTTTATTATAAGAAGCAATAATTTGAGATGAAATAAATAATATCATTTTCTAAATGTAGTCAAAATGTATTTCCAAGATTAACGAGGAATCGACTTTTTATTCGAGATGCGCTTTCCATTTAAGTGCTTATAAATTGTGAAAGCAACAAAAAATATAATATAAAAAATAATTCGAATAAAAGTTTTACACGGCTATAAATCTATATAAAAAATATTTTTAAAAAATATTTTCACGGAATAAATTTATTTTCAAAAATATTTTATGCAGATTTATAGATCCTTGAAAATAGTAAAATTTTTATTTATATTATACATTTTTTTTTATACATCTTTTATATATATATATTTTATATATATTTTCATCATTTACGATTTAAAAACATTTAAATATGAAAAATGCATCTTGGTGAAAAAAACAATTTTTTTTTAATTAAAATAAAAAAATATCGGAAACTCAACAAGATATGAAAAATCGATCCAAGAAACAAAATTACGAAAAGTTTCATTCATCAAAATCAGTTTGTATCACTCGCCAATGTTCCTTCATCAGTAAAAAAGAAAGGAGGGGTTGGAACGGTGGGAAAGGGAGGAGGGTTCCGGGGCCGTTTCGATTTCGATTTCCTGCATTTCCTCGCACATTTCTCGAGCGGAAGTCAATTTCTTTCGGGTTCGACACATCGAACAAAGCATTCCAGATATTCGCCGCGAGAAGGGAGAAGAGGACGTAGCCGGGTCTCTTCTCCGGTCCACATAGATAATTGAGTAGTGCGTGAAAGCTTTATTGTCCAAGGTGCAAGACTCTTCATACCATTTCATTCCATTTCATTGCATCGCATTCCAAGCTTCGATCGAAAGCATCGGGAGAACGATGGGAGCCAATATGCCGCCTACGTTTTTATTATTATTCACATATTTATATATATTTTTTGCTTGTTTACTTTTTTTTTTTTTTTTTTTTTTCGTATCTATGCGATCTATCGTGGCAACTCTCGTCGAGGACGCCACTCGTTGGTCCGATCGAGCAATCAGGAAACGCCGACTTAGGACGACACATGCAGCCTAGCCATGGCAGGCTTTCGTCTTATATAGTGTTAGTTACATTTTTTTTTTTTTTTGGTTCGCTCATTTTTTTTTTTTTTTTCATCGCATTTCATTCGTTAATTTTTATTATTCAGGGGTACACAACCAGTAAGCGGTCCAACATCGAACATCGCAAGCTTGTGTGTGTTTTATATATGCCTCGTGCTGACAGATATATGTCGGGAGATGTCGGGGAGGTCTGTGTCCGGCGCCCAAGGTCACGGTGTGGAACATACAAAGCCTCTGTGAACATTGTGCACATTCGCTGTCAGTGGAAGCTGCGTGATATAAGGCTGGAACGCCGTGTTCCGTATAAGGAATGGAGGGGGATAGGGGGGGGGGTTGTTGTTTTTTGGTCAAACGCTGGGATCATGCTTCGTCCAAGTTCCTCGTGTTTCAAACCGTTCGGTCTGCCCTCGAGATCGACAAATTTATTTTATTTATATAATTGTTGTTTATATAATTTGTATGTATTTATAATAAAATTATAATATAATAAAAAACTATTAAAAGTTTTCAATTGGTCATCGAATTTGATCTTATTATTACAATTTAAATTTCGAATCACTTATTAACGAAATACACAAAACGACTTTTCTCGAACGGTCACCCATCCCAGTACCGATCGTGACCAATGTAATTGCACTTAATGATCGAATATGAAACAGTGAATCCTCGTCGCAAAGGTAGTTGATAAATATTGTTTTTTATTATTTTTTATTACTGCTGACATTAAAAATGATGAGAATTAGAGTGTTTTGAATCATTTCAAATAGATACCAAAAATTCTTGAAAATCTTGAAAGCTCTAAATAGATTTCGAAAATTTCGAAAAGTTTTTCTTAATTTTAATTTATCTTTGAATCAAAGAACATTGGCCAATTTTTAAAAACATATAAGAGAGAGAAATCACAGAACAATTCTTAAATCTGTTAAAGCTTTCTAAAACAAGATTTTCAAGAATCTTTAGATTTCGAAACCAGATTCATAATAATTCGAATTTTCTACCATTTTAAAAATTTGAAGCGATTCAAAGCATTCCAAATCTCATCACTATCAACAATACACGGTATTCTTAAGCGATAGTAATATAATACTAAATACTAATCGTCCAGCATAACTTTGTAGACTTTGTTAATAAAAATAAAAATTAATGAATTCTACGTGCTCTAAATTCTTGCAGGAAATTTTTTAACTAAATATTGCGACTCTCGATAAATTTTAACCGACCAAAAAAAAAATAGACTATATTGGAAGGGTCTGGTTGTTGTCAGCCGTTTGGTACGAATCGATAACGAATTTATAGCGCGGAGTGAGGCGGAAGTATAGCGGAAATATGTCGGGTAAATTCATGAGTCAGTGAAACGGCGAGTATGTCAACGTGTTTCCCTAAGGTATTTCTTCGAAGCGAAAAAATTATATCTGATACATATATCCGGTAGAGCTCGATTAAATTTAATTAAATTCAGGAATTGATAAAGGATTAAATTTTCACTAAAAGGATAGCGTTTTTTCCCCAAGAATTGATTCAAGCACTCAACTCGACAAAATGAAAGACTAGATGTAATCAGATTTAAGCAAATTTTATTTGAAATTGAAATGAAAAAGAATAGAAAATAGTTTGGAATAATTTATTTTTTAATATCGTTATTTGAAAAAAATAGATTTTTCATTTGAAATAATAGTCTCAAATTTTTTTCTTTATTTCAAATTCGATAAAAGAATTGTTTCGTGTAAATAGATAGAGCGAATAAAAAAATGATATTGTTTAAAACAATATTTCAAATATTGCTACAGAAATATATAATAAAAATTTTAATTTTATAATTCTCTTCTTATTTTCATGAAAATAATTTTGGATTATTGAAATTTTCACTTGAGTTCAATTTGAGTCCAAAAATATCATAAATTAAATTAATTTCAATTAAGACTCATTTCAATCGTTCATTTCAAAGATTCTTAACAATTCATCGATATTATTTTCATAAAGAGAAATAATTTTTTTTTCGTTTTTCAAAGTTTGTCTATTTCGTTCAATCTTTTGACTTCTATCACTTCTTCTTGCCTATTAAAATCAGCATTGAGTAATGGAGAAAATTGATCGTACGAATTTAATCGAATTTTTGTGAAATTTAATCGAGCACCGTTTCCACCGTAATTAATTATTTCCGATTCTCGAGGGCGAAAATCGTTCGATCGAAAGTGAATTGACGATGACCTCTACCCCCGAGTAGAACCGTTTAAATTATTCAAGATGAACCGATTATAGAATGCCAAACACGTTTGGAGACGACGGTCAACGACCGAACGAAACACGAGGAATCCAAGGATGGTTGCAGCACAGGGTAATGAGGCAGAACATGAAAATAAGGTATAGGCGGGTTGAAGATATATGGAACGAGTTATGCAAATTGGACAGTTTGAGAGCATTTCTTTTTGTTGAAAATAGAGAAATTCACGGAGAAAAGATTTACGGAAAGTTTAACGAGCACAAGGAAATGATTTAACTTTGAAAGAACATAAATTCACATAGATTCTAACATGGATCTAACATAACCTCAAAAATAATCTTTCGACAAGATTAAATTGTCAGATTGTATACTATTATATTATTATATTACATTTACATTATTTATATATTATTTCATATAAAATGATAATTTCAAATTAAGTATTATAATAATAATATAAATTTTGTATCTAAATTTTTTTCTAATTCTTTTTAATAAATTTTTATTTTATGTAAAAATTAAAACTTAAAACTCGTTGAATACAATTTGAATAATTTCTTGTCAATTTTTTGATTATAATATAAAATAATAAAATAAATTGTATTTTAATGAAATATATTACATCATTAAATTAAGTGAGTTTTTAATATACAGATTTGAAATATAACATATCGCGTTAAGGAACTCTTGTTAACAGAGCTGTATAATTAATAGAGCACTTTCGACAAGGTTATATTGAGAGAACAAGCAATCTGTCATTCGAGTGAAAAATTTTAATTGGATACGAAAATAAAAACTATGTATAAAAATTAATAGCCAATTAAGAATTTCAATTATAATAATGTTAATATAATTCCTGAATCAATATTATTTTAAATATCAATTTAAATTAAAAGCCTTATTAAGAACTCGATCATTTATCAATAATAACTTAATAATTTACATCAATTAAATATTCTCAAAAAAAGAATAAAGAAAAAAGATAAGACAGAAAGAGAGCGAAATATAATATAATAATACAAATAGAAATAAATAAAGATAGATATATATCAGTCAAATAATCTATAGGATTATAAATCGTTAAACCTTCCATTTTCATCACTGTTGTCGTAAAATGCCAATATATTTCAAAGTAAAATTCTTTTGAGTACAAGTGGATATTACATCGAGAGTGACTATCCGACAATAATTTCACTTTAGAGGAGACCTTTAGGCATAGGTCAATGGCGACGCTAAAAATGCCATTAGGGTGCATTTAAGGTACATTTGAGAACAAAACTTTTAAGAGTATTTCTGGCAAGTGTACAATACCAAAACTTTCACTCCCAACACAATGTCCACTTGCGAAAAATAACTCCCAAGTGTTTCACTCTCAAATTTACACTTTAATGACAGTTCATATTTTATAATAAAATTTTTGAGAGTTATATTCACGATATTATTTTTCGCAAGAGAATACTGTGACTATACTGAGAAAAAATTTCATTTTTCAACAGTAGCAAGAAATATTTTAAGAACAACAGTTTCAAGCGTATTCCCCCCATAGGGACAGTTCGCACCCTATATTAAAACTTTCGAGGATATTATATTATATTATATTATATAAAATGGACACTACAGAATAGCCATCAAGCATTAAAATTGTTGTTGGATAATTACTGCTAAAGCCATCGATGTTCAGTGACGAAAACTACTCTCGAAAACAATTCTCAAAAAATTTTACTTCACAACGGAAAAATCAGAATAGAATACTCAACGGTTATTTTTCGCTTTTTAGTAAAGACATTGCTGGTCGAGAGTGAAAGTTCGACAATGTACAGAGCACCCTCGCGCCAAAGAAAGAAACTACTACAAAAACTCCGTCCAAATCGGTATCCTCGTTCCATATGAATAAGGGTTTTACGAAACGGTATATAAACGGCAAGGTGAACACGTATCTCCGCTCGAACGGAGAGTCCATATAGAAATAAAATCAAGATGGGCGAAAAAAGAAACTCACCGTCTCGTCTTAACTCGACGATAACGGCGATAATCGGTGGCGTTTACGTCGTTGGGGTCGAAGCCCCTTCGATGCTTGGGCGGCGAGGACATGGTAGCAGCAGCTTTGGTATCGTTCGAGATCGCGTCCGGTTTGGCAGTAGTGTTGTTGCCGATCGAGCTGCAATTGTTCACGTTGTCGATGTGCAACGAGGCGAGTGGCGGCGGCGAAGGCGGCAGTTGGGCGGGGACCAGGTGGCCAGATGCTGAGATCACAGCGTCCGAAGCCGGGTGACACCGACAGGCCGGTGCTGGTGCTGTTGGCTCGTCGATTACGAGGGTCCTATCCCCGTGACCGACGTCGCTCTTTGGCACCGCGTTCAGCTCGTGCCTGTTAACCCTACCGGCTCCCGGCCCACCCATTCAAATCCTCGATTATCGCCCGTTCACTCCACCTCTCTCGCTCTGCCTCCGTGGCTGCTCCTCTCGCGAGCTTCTCTCGCGCTTATGGCCACGCTTTGCCTCGTCTCTCTCTTCCCTTTTCCGCTCTTCTTCTGCTGCCTCCTTTCGAAATTACGATTCGTAACCGACACCTCGACAATTGTTTCGTCCTTGGTCCCTCTCTCGGTCCCCTCGGTCGAATGTTTTGTAATTTGATCTCTTTTTCCCTCTTCTTCTCGCCCCACCTCGAAATGTTACAACGCGCTCGGCAATCGACACTCGAATAATTCTCCCCTCTTTGACCCGTTTCTCGTTCTCCTCGGTGAAATGTTTTGAAATATGATCCCCTTCTTCCAAGCTCCAGATCGAATCGCCTTCAGTTGTCCTGCGGACGCGGCACATACGATAAGGACGGACGGGCCGTAACCCGATACTTTTGCCTCCTCTCGAATTCATACACGCACGCGACCACGGCTAAACCTATCGACACACCTCCGCCACTGGCAGACTCACGCACGTGCAACCCCATTCGCCCCAACTTTCGCGACGAATCTATTTTCGAGGGGCGATGTATCCAAGCGCACCTTCGTTTTTTTGAACCACGGAACGGGAATGGAATGGATGAGAAAACGTTGTTTCGCGACAGGATGAGGGAAGGATCGAAGCTAGAGAAAGAGAGAGGCGGGAAGGAAGCTGTGACAACGTGTATAAGAGCGTCTACGCCAACGTCCAAACACGATCTTCCTTCCGTTCCGCGATCACGCCGACTCACTCCGCGCACCACACAACCAAGAAACTCTCGCCCTGTGCCTGATTTCGATGGATACCACCTGGCGGCAGCACCGGTAGACGCGACGCGGAACGACCAGTCGCGAGAAATTGGGCGAATCACGGGGAAGAAAGGTCGCAACGAAGCAAGGCCACTGTGTGTTCTCTCTCTACAGGGTGGTCGAATAAAATAAATTGAAAATTTAAGAAGAGATTAAAATTGAAACATAAAAATTGTTACGTATATCTATTAAAAATTATTTATTAACCGTTTATACCCATTCTTATTTTACTTTAAATAAAGTGAAATGGCAGCAAAATAAGATATTCTATTTGTATCTTGCAAAATTATAACTTAATGGAATAACTTTAAAATTATAACTTAATAAGTATATAAACCTTTTAAATATATTGCATACCAACTTTTATTTTTGTTTCAATTTTTTTAGAATCGTCTCTTAAATTTTCAATGCCTGAACACCTTGTATATAATTAAGTTACGATAAATTGAGCCAGAAAGGCGTTTCCAATTGCGCTTATCGAGCGTATCGGCTGATTTCTACCGAGCTTCAACGTGTCATGGTTCGAGAAACGCGAATGGAATTCTAATAAGGCTATGTTCGCGCCCAAAGCGTATGAATTCGTGCCAACTTTCTCTCGATTAGTCCCGCTTTCAACGTCCTTCCTGCCTAATTTCGAGGATCGAAGGTTCGAAAAGTGGAACAATCGAAGCCGAACCTTGAAACCTTTTAAATCGAGAACACGAAGAGAAATAATCGAAAAAAAAAAATAATAATAGAAATAAAAAAAAATTAAAATAATTAAAATATTTAATCGTTAAATATCTAGAATTATATCGTTATAAGTTGTATCGTTAAAAAAAATCATTAAATTCCACAAAATTGTAAAAAATCTTTTCATCTTTTTGAAAGCGGACAGGCGAGACTACTCGATCCATTTACACCTAGTCTCGTGCAGTCATACGGCCGAACAATTAACCACCTTCCACGCCCTCCTCCTTCATCAGACCAAAATAGACATAGTTCTGGGAGTGGCCGCGTGGCGGCGACACGGAAAACAACGCACGAGACAGTTGCACCGGAAAACAAGGCGCAACAGACTGCGTGTCGAGGAATTCCTCTCGAGCCTGAACATCCCCTATTCAGACAAGAGAAAGAGGGCTCGAATCAGATCAAGCGAGGCAACGAAGAGGATCAAGTTTGGCATCGTCCAACGTTCAAACGAGATCAATCAATGATTACACCACGTGCTTGACCTACCGTGTTGATCGAACTGGTGGCCACCGTCCAACATTGTTCGTATCAATTCACTGTTGACCATTACAAACGTTACCCTTCGCGTGTACAACTACCTCGAACATTGCTTTCATGAAGATCGTTCACCCTCTCTGAACGAATTAATATCATGTCAACCTATCATTGTTTCGATTAGACTATTCCTTTCCATCCAAATACACAAAATATCGCGTTCTTGTTTCGACATCACGAGAATATTCTATATCGCGTCGCGAAATTTCGTTGCACTCGATCGATTCTCCACTTTATTTCTCTTTTTTATTTTTTTTTTTTTCCTTTTTGAAGTTAACGCGAAAGCCCAAAGCCGAGTTTCGTCGCGAAGGAAACACACGTCTCGATCGTGGATCGCACTCTATCGTGTCAATCATATGCACCTCCCTCCCGCCTAAACTCATTTTTCTGACAGGTGAACCAATTCGCCGAAAGATGGCGATGGCGTAGCGCGTCACGAGCGCCCACCCGGTCAATACCAGAATAACGAAGAAAGGGTCCAGCTTCGGCGGCACGATAACCTCGATTCGGAGCGCGCGCCACTACTGCAACTCTTTATTATCGCGTTCTTGCTCTCGATCGAGAGAACTCGGTGATCGATAACTGCCTGTGGCCTTGAACGCAGTAAACTTTTCGACTCGTTTAACAAAGTGTAGGGGAATATAATTAGGTATGTGAGACAAAAAAATATCGTTTTGTTTTTGTAAGATGAGAAACGGCACGTGCAATCGTTGTATGGTTGAATTGAAATATTTGAATTAACTTCGGAACGATATGAGATTGAATATAAAGGAAAAAACATGTAGTCTTTTCAAGATAAGAATGTTTCAATGTTTTTTCCTTTAGTAGTGATTGAATTTCTTGTACCACTTGAATTTAAATAACCTATTGCGATAAATATTGAATTATATTCTACAGTCTTTACACAGTATTTTAATGTTTCAACCATTTTTTTTCATCGTACAATTGAAGTATTAATATTTAATGTTTAGTAAATTGTCTCATGGGCAAACCCGGTTTACATTATATGTCACAATATAAATATTAAACAAATAAGCTGAAGCAAGACGAATATTTTTTTGATAACAATAAGTAAATGTAAGAAATAGATTTTATAAATAATTAAAATAAGTTTTCTATTTTGTGATTCTTTGAGAATCAATTAAGATAATTTAACCATAACAAACTATTCTTTTTATCAAAAATCAAAATTTGCTACCAAAAAAAAATTACATTTACAGAATTTGGTTTCGTTCTATTAATTAGGATTTTTTGTGAATAAAATTTGTTCAAAACAATACTTTCTGATTGTATAACTTCAATTAAAATTTCTATTTCAAAGCTTTTTCTACCAATTTCGATTTTTCTGAGCAAAATAGATTTGGGTCTTGCCACTTACTCGAGTGTAATTACAGATAACCGAAATTAATCTTTGACATTGCGTCAGTCTTTCGAAATTGATGATGGTTGAATAATAATATACGTATAACGATCCATTTATAATTGTATTCCGCTAATCCAATAATGCAATTATAAAATGAACTATGTCGATGCTGATTATATTTTCGAATATGGAACAAAAGGGGAAATCTCTTTTGTACCTCCACATTTAAATCTCGCATCGTACGGGTCAATGGTTGCTAATGACAGGTATGATCCGATCACCAATTAATTTCAACCGCGTTATTCGCGCGTGCATTCAAACGGGAGCCTTCCGTTTAAGCGTTTTTTGACGAGAGTGAAAAAAAAAAAAATAGGAAAAATTAAACGAGGCGTTAACGTTGTTTAATTGCACGACGAAAAAATAGAGAGAAACACGAATCGATGCCTAATCGCGATAACTCGATCCCCGAGGTCGTGCCAAGAAAAATAGTTTTATAGGTTAGGTTTCCACGAATGCTGCAACCCACATCGAAACAGATTCCCTAGAAAGCAGAACTAAAGCAATCTCCGTTTATATAATTTTCCACTTAAATCGAATTTTGAAACTCGTGATAGTTAATGCATCTTTGACAGTGAAATAATATCGATCGATATTTTTTCGATATTGCGATCAATTTAAAAAGAGATCACAAAGAATCGCATCTGGCTAATAATGTTACCAGGAAAATTTAGAAACAGTAACGATAACTATTTCTAAAATTGCAGAATATCCCTTCTCTTTTATCTTCTCAATATATTGCTTAATATAACCTAAATAACGAGAATTGTGAAAAAAATGAGGATACAATTATTAAAATTCTAGTGGAGACTGAAAGTTGTATAATCTTCAACAAAAAAGATATTAAACGATATTTGGATAAGCGATTCTTAATCAAATTATTATATTAAATATTAAATTAAGATACAATAGTTTTTATCATTCATTCTTCAAATACACTGATAGAACAAAAATAGATTCTATGTTACTAACAATCATGCAACTAAACCATTTCGTTTACCGTTAAATCGACGACCCGGATCTTCTTATTGGAGACTATCATTTATCTCAGCGATTCTCAATCTTTTCGAAATTACAAAATACTTTTACAAGAAAAATTACTAGTATTACAGAAATACTACATGTAAAATAGTTATATTACTATACGTTATTCTTAGATTAGTAAGAAAATAATTTGAATTCGTTCACCAATAATTTGTTCCGTTATTCAATCTCAAAATATTATTATTTTGAAAAAAACACTAATTGAGAACCACTGGCCCGCACGATAAAAAACGAAATTCCCTCATCAATCCAACAATTTCATAAAGCATTTATAACAAGATTCAATATTCTCAGGAGCGCAGATTGAGAATCACTGAGCCTACCATTAACACAATCCTTATTCAAATCAAAAATCGACGTAACTTTCCCCTTGACCCAGAAGAATAACAATACTCGTAATATCAACGCAAACGTATTCCAAATAGATTGAGAACCACCATTAACACAATCATTACCCAAATCAAAAAAACCCTATCCAAAAATATAATATAAATTTCCCCCCTAACCCAATAATCTAACCGCAACAACAACGATACTTGTAACAAGTTTCCAGAACAATAATGGTTGAGAGCCACTG